GTCCTATGACATTTTCCTCTAAGATTGAAAGTTTTAAAGTAAAATGAGGAGAAAGGTCGCTGATCGTAAGAATTCTAGCCGCGGCCTTTCTCCGTGAGCCGGTGCGAGAAGAACGGAGCTGAGGTGGTTTTCTTGCCAAACTTCGTGAACGATCGACTATTGCTGTGTCCCCGTAAGAAGCTATGGTAAAGAATCGATAGTGCGATATTCGAGTAGTCGCATGCGATACGATATTCGATATTTGTTCAGCTGTAGGATTCAACATGGCGGCCATGCACGTTTTCCTTATGTTCCTTAGCTCTACCACGCCGGTGCCGGTGCCCGAATTCTGGACCGCTCAATTTATATTACTTTATTTTATCATTAGCCGTTGAAACTGTCATCTTCCTTGCTCATTTAGAAGTATTTCACCAATTCGAGACGATGATTTAACCCCAGGGTCAACGAAAATCAAGAAGAAGCCATGGGAAGTGTGGAGAAACCGAAGCTCTGAGTGGATCTTCATAGGTATGAGTGAACGAGTCGTTTTTCTGGTATTGCTTTCAATCGCCTCTCTTTCAACTAAATCGAGGAAGCTTACACTACTGACTCCTCTCGTAGTGATGTTCCCATAACTTACGATGTTACAGTAGAATTGTCATCAGACTACTGTGACGAAAAATGTCTTTTTGTCTGTTGCTGGACTTGTCTTGGAGACTCCACTATGGACCAAGACATATATCTTTATCTCCTCTTATCTTATCTAGTCAATCAATGAATGCCGACCGGTTCTTGAAACTCTGTTGGTATGCCAGGACAAGATGAGGAATGTGTGAGCTTTGCGCTTGGAAGACCTTGATCCCCTTGGCCTGGGCATGCCGACAAGAGTTTCAACGACCGATTCCTGTGTGTGAGACTGAAGCTACCTTTAAAGAAGGAACTTCTGAGCACAGTGAAGAGTGTTTTACAGGGTTTTTTTTCCCAATCCCCTGCAAATAGCAAGAACTGTGAATACTGTTGCTACACCTATTGATGGTCCTAGTTCGGACTCCATTGCCAGAGGTATTTCCCGCCTGAATTTCCTCTTCAAGAATTGTAATTTCCTCATTCCCCGTGTGTCCTGTAACTCTTTCCTTCTTTCACTTTCATGTCGTTTAATCTCTAAAGGAAAGAGTTAGTTTGTCTTTATGTAGTCATGCTGTGATAAAGAGGCCAATTTCATCATTTTGAAAGCTCACCTAGACCATCTCTTCCCTGCGAATCGATAGCTTAGCCTTTGTTTCCCATGATCATTTTTCCTCCTTTATTCAATGGGCCAGTTGCGCTGCTAACAGAATCATATTTTGATGCGTGGTTCTAGTAGATCAGCATTAAGTAAACAGATCCGTCCCAACAGCAACTCTCTAGGTACCTTGATTATTAACCGAGATATTTGGCCTTGACACACTTGACTTATGGCGTCATCCACTGCGGAAGTGCATAACATGATATTTCCTACCATGGTGGATGACTTTATAAGTCAAGTTTCTAAAGGCGAGATACCTCGGTTAATATTCAACATAGAAATTTGCTGTTTGGCCAGATCTTATAATTTTTAGTTGATCTGCAAGAATAAAGTATCGTTACACGATTCTGAGACCAGCAAGGCTGCCCCATCCTTCCACTCCCATGTTCTATGTTATATTTCCAATGTTTCAACCCTAAATTTTTCACAATTACCTGTTTACTCTGCTCTCAAGAGGTGTCGTCAGCTAAGTTGGCACTTGTTTACATTCCACTTGCAAGCAATAGATGATATTAGTAGTGAAGTCATCATAGGGATTCTCCATTGTATCAAATTGGATCCATACAATAACATTGGCGTAACCTCTTTCAATGCTACTATAATGCGAATAAATCGATATGTATAACGCTTTTTTGTGACGTGCTACTAATAGCGTCTATTGAGATGCAATTGTCCAACAGCTATAGGGGATTGACGGCAGCCTGATCGTGAGCTTAGTCAATCCTTGATTTCTGTTGGACTACTACATTGTAGTTGCTTGCGAATGTTATGTATTCAAGTGCCAACTTAGCTGACGACACCTCTACCTCAAGTTAGCACTATTACTTCTGATAGTTTTACACAAGTTTGTCCTTTCTCTTGAAGGCATAAAGTTATTTGACCAATTTCATCTACTCTCCACCGTCAACCTTCTCTCGTATTGACTTGTGCAACACTCAAGAATATTTATTTTCGGTTCACAGTGTACTCTCCGTTTTTAATTGATCAGAATGGGTATGTAGAGACCTTAAATTAATTCAAAAAGAACTAAAGCATTTTGCCATATTCTTTGTATCTTTGTAAACTTTATTTGAGAGGAGTTAAACTCCTGTCTGAGGTAGCAACTTCAGCAGTAATCTTACTGCATCACTCTCCGCACTGTACGACTGGCTAAATGATCTGCTATAGACTGTTTACACAAGTAAAAGTAGTCAGCAAAAAATCGATTAGTCTCTTAGTGAGTGGTATTATTTTCGGAAGGTTGCCTTTGCAACAAATTAAAAACCTGCTCATCATATTGCAGGTACATGAAAAAAAGAAGCCCGAAGAATTTTGTTGCCCTCTTCCTAATGTAGATTTCTCCTTTTTACAGATTTAAAAACATATCAAAATGGCGCCAGAGCCACTGGATATCTTTGAGCATGAGTTGCTCTTCAAAGCAACGGATATCTCTTAGCATGAGTTGCTCTTCAAAGCAACCAATTTTACCAAACTGGCCTCCGTAGATATGTGTCAGGTATGAATTATAAATGTTGTTCATTAAGTAAAATAATTTTGTTAATCAATGAGAACTGGAATAATTTTTAGGACCAATAGCTCATATTTTTTCTGTTCTTTTTTTCTTAAATTTTAGTTCAAAACCTGTCAAAGATCCCTCCTAAAATGTTGCAGGCTCAAGAAATTAATTTCAAATTTAGAATTTTGCTTTTTAAATTAACAAGTTCTTTTGAACAACCACTTACAGCTTAAACACAGCTTACAGGCGGGAATAATGACTAACATTATGCATACTAATGCACAAATATAATGGAAAGATGTCTCTTAACTTTTTAGTCCATCGTTTTTTCACCAACTTTCTGTAATCTACTTAGTACAACTTTGATAGGTATGAAAACATTGTGTTTTTATGGAGGAAAACTTTAGTTTAAAGTGTGAACAAAGTTATGTCGAAGCTGTACACCAAAGTGAGAAATTATGTGTCTCCATCGCAGTGTTTCATAATTTCTGTTCCTATTTATTTTTTTTTTTGTGAAGGGAAGCAAGCCAACTTTATGACTTGAAATTTGTATAGAGTATTCTGCTAATTATAAGAGTGAAGAAAAATTAAGAAAACTTTCCAGAAGTTATGAAGTTTCGGAAAAGAACATAAAGTATGTCAGGGAGTCTGCAACGTTCAAACAGAGATACCTGGTTTTGCTCTTAGGTCATCGCCATAGTTCTTAAGCAACAACTCTTCACCACCATATTCCAACATATGAATTACATTTCATCATCAAAAGACATTAAATAGCTTAAACAAAAATATTCACCCTGATTACCAAGATTAATTTTCCATTTGACTGGTACATTTTCCGAAAAAAAAAAAAAAAAATCAAACCTTGTGAATGAATGCTCTTCAAAGGAATATTGGGATTTAATTTATAGTGAAGGAAATAATTTCAAAATAATTTTGCACCAGTGGAAATTATAATCATATCCTGGTCAGTTCAACCATTTTTACTATTCAAATTTAAACCGGAGGTTGATAAGCTCCCAATGATAAGATTTACATTCTTCTAATGCATTGGTATTAAACTTTCTGCTCATTATCCAAAAGAGGTTGAAAAAAGTTCCCAGCTTTCATTCATGCAGAATTGATGTGCGTCTTGTTTTCCAGATTTTTGCTTTATAATGTTTGTCAAACTGAAGCAGAGAAATTTTACAAGGTATTAAGTTAAAATTCGGTGTCAGATTTCAAGATATAGCCTTCATGATGACTTATTCTTTCTGGCACTCACCATCTCTTGAATTCGCAGCTTGGCTGCACAATTTTACATGTTAATTTTTGAAGACACCTCAGAAGGGTGGTCCAGTGTTCCATTTTCTACTACATGGTTCCATAAGAAAGTGGTGGGTGTGTTGGTGACTGAATATTTAAATTTATTGCAGCACTCCACAATTTGATAAAAAAAAAAAGAGCTTTATAGAATATGGGAAAAGCTTATCAAGGCTCTCATGAGGTGCACCTTAAAAGCCTGCAAGAGAAGCAAAATGCATTTAGGTATGTCAAAGCTGAGAAAACATTATTTACACTTACTTATTTCGCTTACCTATCAAATACATTTTTCAGTACCTGGAGGCATACATGAGGAATATTAGAAACCTCTACCATAACTCCTCAGCAGTAAAAGAAATTAATTTTGCTGAAGCTGCGATGGTGATTCAGAATTCATCAATTATCTTTGCCAAGAATGTTGACTCAATTTGGGCAAGAGCTATGAACATACGGCTTGCTTTATCTGCTACCATGAAGTAAGTGATCAAAGTATTTTTTCAGCGTCTTTACTCTTTCAATAGGCACTAGATGAAGATTCGCCATGTACATCCCACAAACCAAGTTAGGAAAAACATATGGGCAACACAGATTCGCCAGATTCGCCATGTACATCCCACAAACCAAGTTAGGAAAAACATATGGGCAAACACATGGCAGTCTGAGGCGCTTTAAGGCCCTCTCTCATGCATAGATGCATCCGTCATCTGTCATGAATTTGATGCAATTGTAGTTCATATTTTCACCAATAGAAAGTATATAATGCCATATATGCATAAACATTGGATTTCAAGGTTTTAAGCTTCTAAGTTTTAAGGAAATGGCGCTCAAAGTTTTCAAAGCTGTGCATGTTTACGTCTGTACAGCAAAGAGGGTTTGGTTAAGGAAATCATTTTAGATGAACGAGCAAATCTTTTTAGAAAAAATGAGCTCTAGGAACTTAAATTTAAAGCAAATTCAATGGAAGGGCTTGGGAGACAAGGGGGATGAGTGCAACTTTTGAAAATTTTTAGATATAAATGATTTAAACTAAAACTAGTCCTAGAATATATTCTGTGAAACAGCCACCACCAAAATCCAATCTCTAAACATCAAAAACTGAGTTTGAACTCTCTCTCCACCATGAGGCTCCATCCTACTTTGAACTTTTCAAAACCTACTCTTGAAATAGCAAATACTGCTCTTAGCATTCTTGTCATCCAAAGCCCTCAATTGAATCGACGTATTCGAAAACGTCCGTTGTTTTTTGAAAACCTAGAAACTCAGAGAATTTACAGTCACCCAGAAAAGTCAGGAATTTAGAGAACTTCTGAAAAATATTGGAATATTGCGAATAGTGCACCTGCTTAGCAACTTCAGGTAGTGCCACTCAAGAGAGTGGGAACAATTTCGTAGTGTCCTTTCCTGTCAATTAACTGATCAAATTTTCTATCATTCCATTAGTCAGTCTGTCTATTCATTGACCTGTTAGATTAACCAGTCAAATTGTTTGTTGATCAACCAATCAAATGCTTTGTTAATCAATAAGTTGGATCATCTGTCTCATTGACTAGAAGTCTCTCGATTGACTAGGCAAATCATTTGTCCATGGACCATTCAACTCCTCTTTTGATCAATCAGTTGAATCTTCTTTCGATCGATAAGTCAAATTTTCTAAAAATGGAACTTCCTATCCTAATCAATTTGCGTTGTTTTTTTATTTTTAGATAAAATATTGATATGAAACTAGACAAGAAAGAGGACAAATCAGCAAAGCAATCAGATAAACTTGTCCTTCCCACCTCCTCGCAAATCAAAAGTAAGTTTTGATCTTGAACTATTGGCTTGAAATAAATTATTTTGTGGTAGGTGAGTGATTTCCCTCTCATTTAGTTTTCTCAAGAATTAAACGCGGTGCATTTTACTTTTTTCAAAAACGATTGTATCATAGTTTGGCTGCAACAGAATCTGTCTTTAATAGCACGCTGTCATGTAAAGTTTATTTTTGCAACTGCTGAACTCACAATATTTCTCAAAAAAAAAAAAAAAATGTTGTATGATACATTGAACATACGTATAAAGATTGCATTGAGTGCCTCCACAAATAATATTCAGTATTATGCAGTTTCTTTAAAACATTTTTTCCGCATTTTCACTCTGCTATTTATTATGAAGCCTACATTAACAAAACCCTCTAATTTTACTGTGATCAGGGGCCAACAATCTCATGTGGAAAAATGTTCATACCAACCTGATAAACATTCCCGTCTTAATCTAACTATAAGTTACCCTTGATTTTTGAAGAAACATCAGTGGAGGTTGCCAATTCTTTTCTGCTGTGATCGGTAGAAATAATCCAACAAAAATTGATTCACAACTTTTCATCACCTAAGCACAAGATTATTTGGTTATTGGGATATTGAAGAGAAATTAAATGGTATGTTGATCTATTTTTTTACTGAAAAATCTATGTTGTAATGTAAAGTTCTCCTCTGTAAATTCCCAGCATATTTCCAGATTCGACTCTTTAGGTTGTATCCCTTTTCATGTCCTCACATTATCAATAAAAATAAATTGTGGTAATTTTTGAACGACTTTCTCAGAGGCTGCCGAGCATCCTGTCCATGAGGAAATTTTCAATAATGACATGGATCACTCAATGATGGACGGACACAATCCTCTGTCCCCGCCTCCTCCAACACCACCGCCAACCCCTCCGCCTATGGACCTTCCCATGAACGATTCGCTTGAAAGTTTAAAAGATTCTCAAGAAGAAACTGAAAAAGAACGCGAGTGACGGCATAAGTAAGTATAAAACGCTGAATGAACTTTCAGGCGTGGGCAAACTTTCTTGAATAAAACATGAATTTATTGGGAAAGCTGTATTTATTTTTCTTCCAATTTTTCAGACAGTTATGTTGGCAAGTAAATCCAAAATATCTGAAACACCAAGGAAAAATATGCATAGTTTTCTACCTAAATAATGTTTTTATTGGAGGAAATTTACTGTGATGCTTTCAGGAAAGAAAAAAGAGAACTCGAAAGGAAGCTACAAGCTATCTTATCGGAAAATATCATCAACATAATGCTGTCCTTCAAAGAAAGCTAGAACTTTGTTCACAAATACATAAAGAAAGTACTGGAATGAAAAGCAATAAAATTAAATATTATAAACGGGACAAAACAAAATGAACAGAGTCCCACAGAACAACCCGGACACAAAGCGTCCCAGCTGATTACTCTCCCTCAAGGGAAGACTTCGGCAGTATCCGGGCAGATATGCTACCGTGACTTTTTGTTTAGTTGGTCGGCTGGACATCGGCCCCGATCACCCCTAGACTAACTCCTGATCAAAGTTTTTTCCAAATTAGAGCAAAACCAACACATGATAGTTGAACTCTCCTGAGGACTGCCCAGTCAAAACCCATCCCATGTTGGGGTGGAAGTGCAAAACGGGCGGGAATCGAAATCCCTGGAATCTGGCTTGTCAGGCCCAGGGAAACAGGATGGTTAAAACTGTCATATCCTTGCAAAGATTCACCACTTTTTTCTCCTGTTAACTTAAAAAAAAAAAAAAAAAAAAAAAAAAAAAAAAAAAAAAAAAAAAAAANAAAAAAAAAAAAAAAAAAAAAAAAAAAAAAAAAAAAAAAAAAACTATTGGAGGATAGAATTGTGTGAAAAAACGGCCAAAAATGCCTCAAGGCATTCTCGAATTTTGAACACTTGGGGTAATACAGTATCTTTCGAGACTCCCAAAACCGGTCGCCGTTTTGCTTAGAAGCGCCAGGTTGCGACGTTGCCATTTTTTTAAGTGGAAACCTTTAAAAATTAATATCTCCGCTGCATCTCAACCGATTTCAATGAACTTTTTTTTTAAAATGTTCCTCTTAAATAGAGCTTTCTAATGGTGTATAGTTTTCAAGGTTTGCTTGGCTTTAAAGGGCGCATGCGCGGTTTTCGCAGTTTTTGATAGACACAAAAATTTTGTTTTTATTTTACGACGATCGTAGAATCGACGGAATCTAAACAAAAACCAGTCTAAATGAGGGTTCAGGTTCTCACCTTTCTAACGAGCACAATATCATTCCGGGGAAACGTTTAGTTTCCGAGATATGACCGCTCAAAGTTGGTCACATGCGCTGTTGCCCAATGTGAATGCGTCTTATCACTGAATCATTCGCGAACTAGGGGTCCCTTACGTTAAATTTACGTTGAAATAATCACACAGAGCAGTAAGGTCTCCAACACGAGCCGTTTTTTCACCTTCGGCCGCCGATTTGCGACGTTGCCATTTTTTGAAGTGAAAACTCTTAAAATTGCATAACTCCGCTGCATTTCAACCGATTTCAATGAACTTTTTTTTAAAAATGTCCCTTTTAAATAGAGCTTTCTGATGGTATTTAGGTTTCTGGATTTTTTTTTTTTTTTTTTTTTTTTTTTTTTTTTTTTTTTTTTTTTTTTTTTATGAAGGGGGTCTGTATTTCCTTTGATTCTTTTTAACTTTCAAACTTGATTGGAAGATCATCATAGCTTCAAGTATAATGCAAAAATCTTGGTAAAATAGCAACGCCACCTTCTCTTGTACAATGAGAGCGTCGCTTTCAATATTTGTACACGTAAGAATAGTGATTAAAAGAATCCCTTTTTTAAAAGTTCTTTGTTTTGAATTCTGCCATTTCAAACCCTCCCGTAGCCCCCGGAAAAAAAAAGCAATACTATTTTTTGTATAAAAAATATCTACAAAGAACCGTATAAACGACCCAAGTGCCTCCCTAAGGTGAATAAAATCCAGAAACCTAAATACCATCAGAAAGCTCTATTTAAAAGGGACATTTTTAAAAAAAAGTTCATTGAAATCGGTTGAAATGCAGCGGAGTTATGCAATTTTAAGAGTTTTCACTTCAAAAAATGGCAACGTCGCAAATCGGCGGCCGAAGGTGAAAAAACGGCTCGTGTTGGAGACCTTACTGCTCTGTGTGATTATTTCAACGTAAATTTAACGTAAGGGACCCCTAGTTCGCGAATGATTCAGTGATAAGACGCATTCACATTGGGCAACAGCGCATGTGACCAACTTTGAGCGGTCATATCTCGGAAACTAAACGTTTCCCCGGAATGATATTGTGCTTGTTAGAAAGGTGAGAACCTGAACTCTCATTTAGACTGGTTTTTGTTTAGATTCCGTCGATTCTACGATCGTCGTAAAATAAAAACAAAATTTTTGTGTCTATCAAAAACTGCTAAAACCACGCATGCGCCCCTTAAAGCCAAGCAAACCTAGAAAACTATACACCATTAGAAAGCTCTATTTAAGAGGAACATTTTAAAAAAAGTTCATTGAAATCGGTTGAGATGCAGCGGAGATATGAATTTTTAAAGGTTTCCACTTAAAAAAATGGCAACGTCGCAACCTGGTGCTTCTAAGCAAAACGGCGACCGGTTTTGGGCGTCTTGAAAGATACTGTATTACCCCAAGTGTTCAAAATTCGAGAATGCCTTGAGGCATTTTTGGCCGTCTTTTCACACACCTCCTCAGCAACATTTGAATGTTCTCATGGCACGTCACAAGAAAATAGAATGGTTTGACTTGGACGCGGGAAACTGAGGAAGAATATTTTTGTAAACAGTTCGGTATATTTTTCCTAACATTCGAGGATTTTTGATGGCGAACATGCTTTTTATTGTATTTATTCGGCTTCATTTTTTCCTGTTTTTTTTTTTTTTTTTTTTTACATTGCTACCTAATGAAGCTTTTCTTCTGTCTTTTGATTTTCGTAATTTTCTCCATAAAAACTTTGTATAATTATTAGTAATCATCATAATATGGATGGTTTTCTTTATGAGATCAATCATTTCTTGATAATAATGATCAAAACACCCAGCTGTATCATAAGCGTAAAAATATTATTTTTATCTTACAGTGATGAGTTTGTTTCCAAGGATAATTTCTTTCAAAAAGTCTTTTTTAAAAGGTTAGCAACATTTGTCATGATAAATATTTTTTTTCAGTGAAGGATGAATATTTCTTTCGCTGATTTTACTGTTAACTTTTTTCCTTTTGAAAAACTACAGCCATTTCAGGCTTGTACCCATTGTCAGGTTTTAAAACGAAAGATGAAAATAAAAACGTAATCTCGAATTATTTTCGTTTTTTGCTTTATAACATGACAATGTGCTCAAGTTCAAAATAGCTGCAGCTATGTTTAAGGAAAAAATTCTTCAGTAAAATCAGAAAGAGTTCATCCATTTATAAATCAACAGTGCTGATAAATTTAAACAAAACTTGATTTTTTCCCCCCTCAAATCATGATTTAATGATTTCTTCATTTAATCTCTTTTCAGAATACGAAAAAATTCAGAGCGAGAAAACATTGTCTCCAGATAAAGTTTTAGCAAAAGCGTGGGAACCCATCCCTTTGGACAAAGGCAATCCGATTCGGCCTTTGGAATAACAAAGAGTATACAAGTTAGATACAAATGATCCGTCTAGTTTGGTTAGTGTTGCTTTTCTGAATTTCTTTTCCATTTTCCTCTCTCTGACTTGTTCTGTGTTAATTGTAATATCCATAGGACTGTGATGTACATGACTTGAGTGCCTTTTTTATAGCTTGTAAAGGCCATTTTTTAGGAGCAAAATATAACATAAAAAACTGGGTTTAGTTCATCTGTGGATTGACTGATTTAATTTGACGCAGGACCACAAATTTTCACGATTGTATATCTATTTTTCAATACCCTCAAAAACACTTGCAGTATTCGATAGATGAAAAGAATTTCACAAATATTGATGGATCAAATAATCATGAGGTGGCAGGTCTTATGATTTATGAAACTCCACCAAATGAACTAATGCGCAATGGGCCTGTTGCAAGGTGCGGGGATTTACAAATTGATGCCTGATTTCTATGGCAAATTTCACGAAAAGAACGATGGTGCTAATAAATAAACTTGAAATGACCTTTCAAACTCAAAAAAAGCTGTTTTTTTAACCGACCCATTCGAAACGGTCACTTTTACACGGTAACGGATCCGCCATACTTGTGACGTGAAATGGTTTGACAGACCTGGTCTTTTCATCCATAGAGAAAAAAAAGGAGGTTTTTGCATCTTGAGATTTGTTTACCCTGTGACGTAAGTCGGTACAACCTGGCCAGCGAAATCTGGAATTCGAAGTATGAAAAACCGCCCATAATATCCCATTTTTTTTGCATAAATCAACTGATGAGACAATTTCAAGCACTTTTTATAGAATGACTTTTTCCATAAATTACACCATTTCCAAGAAAATCAATGATAAAAGTCGCTGTACCAACCTACGTCATTAAAAAAATTCCAAAATGCCCGAAATGCAAACACCTCCTTTTTTTTCTCTATACTTTTCATCACTTACAATGTATTTTCCCACAAGGAATTGGCAGCCGCTTTTCAAATGCAAATATTGAGTTAATCTATGATTTTTTGAACAAAATGGAATTCAGAAATGGATTCCTCGTACGTTTAAATGGTTAAAACCTTCATTAGATAAATAAGAACCGACGGGATTAACCCTATTCTAAGGGAAGACTGTAGTCAATGGGCGATTGTTTACATCTGCTTAGTGATAACAGACGTGAACATTAGCCCAATATTTAGCCATTTTCATGAGTTTTTACTTTTTTGTCACTATTTGAAGGTAAGTTTCTTTTGTAAATCAATTGTTTAGTGCCTTAGGATCATGTTAAAAGCTGTAACGGTACACATTGTTACTTATTAATTCAGAACACACTCCGGCAGTCCAACGCTCAAACCATTGATGTTCTCTCAATGCGTGTAAATCATTCTTAACTCTTCAACAAACATCTCAATATCATTCAGAACGTTCCCACGTTTTATAAACTTATGTTACTTTAAATTCCTGTGTGTTATCAATGTAACACTATTGGTACAGAAAAAATTAATCGATAAGTCTGGTAACCAAAGAAGGATTCTACATCTCCTTTCCTTGCCTCCATCTAAAACATACTGGTCTCCTCATCTCATCAGTATTGTCAAAGGTAAGTTTTTTTTTTATCATCAATGATTGATACTATCATTTTGGTGTCCTCAGTGAAACATTGAAGGGTGAAATATTAAGAAATAACAACTGACTCGTTACACCCAGGTTTGAGCGTTGGACTGCTGGAGTATGTTCTGAATTAATAAGTAACAATGTGTACCGTTACAGCTTTTAGCATGATCCTAAGGCACTAAACAATTGATTTACAAAAGAAACTTACCTTCAAATAGTGACAAAAAAGTAAAAACTCATGAAAATGGCTGAATATTGAGCTAATGTTCATTTTCGTTATCACTAAGCAGATGTAAACAATCGCCCATTGACTACAGTCTTCCCTTAAAATAGGGTTTATCCCGTCGGTTCTTATTTATCTAATGAAGGTTTTAACCATTTAAACGTACTAGGAATCCATTTCTGAATTCCATTTTGTTCAAAAAATCATAGATTGACTCGATATTTGCATTTGAACAGCGGCTACCAATTCCTCCTTATCAAGAATGTCTTGATAAGGAGTTATTTTGTATAATTGGACGTATTTATACGAAAGGGAACTAAGCGCCAAATTTCCAAATTTCAGTTTTTAACGGATCTGGATTCTCCATGTAATAGGCTGCTCTCACACGTAAATATGCCCCCAAAATACTAATTTCATCCCCTGGAATCAGCCCCTGAAAAATCGCAAAACAGGGAATCAGCGATTACGAATAAAATCAAAAGGAACTATAAGTAATTCCCTTTGATTTAATGCGCTAACCCGGATTCCGAATTAAATCAAAAGGCGCTATCTCCACTTGATTGACGCGCGCGCGGCGAAGCTTGGTGGAAACGTGGTGAAATTCAGTATCGGGGGGTATTTTTGGACGGAAAACTCGAATTTCGGGTCAAATTTTGAAAATTCAGAAATCCAAGATGGCGGACATGGCCTAAAATGCTATCTCGGCCCCTATCCAGCCGATCTTGGTGAAGCTTGGCATCGGGAAGTATTTTCGGACGGGAAACTCGAATTTCGGGTCAAATTTTGAAAATTCAAAAATCCAAGATGGCGGACATGGCCTAAAATGCTATTTCGGCTCCTGTCCAGCCGATCTTGGTGAAACTTGGCATCGGGGAGTATTTTCGGACGGGAAACTCGAATTTCGGGTGAAATTTTGAAAATTCAGAAATCCAAGATGGTGGACATGGCCTAAAATGCTATCTCGGCCCCTATCCAGCCGATCTTGGTGAAACTTGGTATCAGGGGGTATTTTCGGACGGGAAACTCGAATTTCGGGTCAACTTTTGAAAATTCAGAAATCCAAGATGGCGGACATGGCCTAAAATGCTATATCGGCCCCTATCCAGCCGATCTTGGTGAAACTTGGTGTCAGGGGGTATTTTCGGACGGAAAACTCGAATTTCGGGTCAAATTTTGAAAATTCAGAAATCCAAGATGGCGGATGTGGCTTAAAATGATATCTATTTCTTAAACAAACGCACTACACGTCTAGAGTGGCCGCCAATGAACCTGCGTAAAGCGCACGGGCCGGGTTGTGAAGGCCGGAGTTGGTGGGAGCCCAAATATACCTACCTAACCTCAATCTGCTTTCTCGCTGCATCTTGCCAATGTGGATGAGATGTGGAAATTTTCACGTTTGTAAACTTTAAATATATGGCACTCTACACGGAGAAAAAATTCAGAAATCCAAGATGGCGGATGTGGCCTAAAATGTTATCTCCTATTTAAACGCGCATCGCCAAAAAATCCCAGATGTCGTCCCCTGAGTGACGGTCACATATCGACCGTGCGTTCCCTCTGGCTCGATCGATGTCAGTGTGCACTGACATGGTCAAGGGGCTTTTAACGAGCGAACAAATTAACGAACCCATCGGAATCACTTAATTTTCATTAAAATCACTGTTAGGTACTTTATTGGAATCGGAACAGTATTTAGAAATTCATGAGTATTAAGAGCGCGCTGGAAGGATTACGTGGTCAAAAGCGTGACCGTCACCTAGGGGTTCGTCAGGCCCCATCTTGACTTCCTCGGAGACGCGAGTTTAAATGGGAGCTCAGAATACGCAACTTCAAACTTGTTTTCCGTGGGTTAATAATGTTTCAAAAAATCGGAGAAAATTCTAGCGAACTGCGCGTACTCAATCCTCCAAAAAAATGCAAAAATTAAAAATTACTGAATAACCTCATTGTTAAAATTTGAAACTCCGATATGGCGGATGTGGCCTTCAACAATAGCTCAATGCCTGAATCGTTTGTGTGAAGTTCGGTATTAGGGGCTCAAAATGACAACAGAAACTATTTTATTTAGATACGAAAATTTTAACATAGGTAATCAGCACATGAAGGGAATTCACGATCCGACGCTGCTAGGTAAACCACGCACCTCGACGAGGCGGTGTATTGTGAACGTACGCGGAGAAAAAACTTCTTGCGTGGGACCCGAAGTTTAGGTCATATGGATCTGTGAAGTTTTCGGATTGAGCATCTGAACACTTTCGGTCCAGCTGCTAAGGATTTGATCACACATCTGAAACTTCAGTTCTTACATCTAAAGTACTTCGGTTTTCACATCCGAAAATTTCGGTTCTCACATCCGAAAAACTTCGGTTCTCACACCTGAAGACTTCAGACGTAAGAACTGAAGTTTCAGATGTGTGATCCGAACCTCGACAGCTAGACCTAAAGTGTTCAGATGCTCAATCCGAAAACTTCAGAGATCCATATGACCCAAACTTCGGGTCCCACGCACGAGTTTTTTTCTCCGTGTAGAGTGCCATATATTTAAAGTTTACAAACGTGGAAATTTCCACATCTCATCCACATTGGCAAGATGCAGCGGGAAAGCAGATTGAGGTTAGGTAGGTATATTTGGGCTCCCACCACCTCCGGCCTTCACAACCCGGCCCGTGCGCTTTACGCAGGTTCATTGGCGGCCATTCTAGACGTGTAGTGCGTTTGTTTAAGAAATAGATATCATTTTAAGCCACATCCGCCATCTTGGATTTCTGAATTTTCAAAATTTGACCCGAAATTCGAGTTTCCCGTCCGAAAATACCCCCTGATACCAAGTTTCACCAAGATCGGCTGGATAGGGGCCGAGATAGCATTTTAGGCCATGTCCGCCATCTTGGATTTCTGAATTTTCAAAATTTGACCCGAAATTCGAGTTTCCCGTCCGAAAATACTCCCCGATGCCAAGCTTCACCAAGATCGGCTGGATAGGGGCCGAGATAGCATTTTAGGCCATGTCCGCCATCTTGGATTTCTGAAATTTCAAAATTTCACCCGAAATTCGAGTTTCCCGTCCGAAAATACTCCCTGATACCAAGTTTCACCAAGATCGGCTGGATAGGGCGGCCGATATAGCATTTTAGGCCATGTCCGCCATCTTGGATTTCTGAATTTTCAAAATTTGACCCGAAATTCGAGTTTCCCGTCCGAAAATACCCCCCGGTACGAAATTTCACCAAATTTCCACCAAGCTTCGCCGCGCGCGCGTCAATCAAGTGATTCAAGCGGAGATAGCGCCTTTTGATTTAATTCGGAATCCGGGTTAGCGCATTAAATCAAATGGACCTACGTGCAAAAATCCCCTATATCTCGCTCAATATGCATTTTTTCCTAATTTTGGCAACGTACGTAATTAGAGGAACTCTTCACCTTTCAAACAAGCTAAAGTAAACCAAAATCGGTCCATTAGTACGGAAACGCCAATTGTTTTAGTCACACTTGCTTTACTGAGAAGTTTGGAAATGGCGTTTAGCGCCTTTTCGCATAAATACGTCCAATTGTTCTACATAAAATTTTGATGACAGAAAACAAGTGTTATAATGTGCAAATTCGCACTTCGTCTTTTTAGTGGTCTATTAAAAGATTACTCAGTGTATTAGAAATTTCCTCAATGACTTCCAGCATAACAAAAAAGTGATAAGGCAACTTCCATGCAATGATGAACCTGATTTTGATGGTGTATTGTATTGAACATTATCTAAACCGGCGAGAAATTTTCTCATTCATCTTTGTCATTTATCATAAGTTAATTTCATTCTGTGTTCTGCAGAGAAAAAAGAAGAATAGAGGAAAGACAGACACAGAGTCAGAAACGTTTATTGTGTCAGAAATGTTCATAAAGGGTGAATACTATCTTATCAATGGCCACGGGTTTGATCCATGGGTTCTAGCGGAATTTCACGCGGTACAGATGAAATGACTGGAAGACGCTCCCAACAGAAAGAGAAAAATATTAGGTAAGTGAAACCATCTCTGAAAATAAGAGTTTTAATTATCTGCAAGAAAAGCAAAAGTGACCTTTGTCCACAAGAATTAAAAATTGAGGTGCTGTTTACAAAAAGGGTCTTTGGTGCCCAGGACCCCTTATGTAGAAAACAGAGTAACTGATTCTCACAATTGATTGTTACAAATTACAAAACTAATAATCCACAAAAACAGAAAAGAAAACATCGTCAGGCCGAAAATCTTAGTTGGATCTCATTTGAATAATGGAATCCAAAACATTCTACTAAGGTAATCGTACTCAATTTTTACTCGTGCTCCAATCCTTATTTGTCAGAAGTTACAGTAGTCTTTCTTTTCTTTCTGATAGATTTAAAAAGATCACATTAATTTGTCTGTCAGGAGTGTCTGCAAGAATTGATCGAATATGATTCGGAAGTTAGGGTAGTGAGTTTGTGAAAAGTCATTGAAAACCTGAAAAAGTCGGGGGATTTTGCTGCGGACTCATGATTTCTTTCTTATGGTCGCAACATTTAATTATTCTCTATCACAACCACAAGCTCCATCGGGGAAATTAGAACTTTGGCCTTTAAGTTCTTGAATTTTGAATTTTTTCAATTTTTGAAAACTTAGCGAGAGAAACCTTTTGTTGAAAGCAATTTTATAAGAAATTTCAGAAATAAAAACATTAAAAACGCATGAAAAAGTCTGAGAATGTAACATTCATGTAATTGAAGAGCTTGTGCATTTTTATACCTTTTTAAAAATTAATTTAACTATTTTGTCTTTGCATCTGTTTTAGAAATGTTAGATGCTGCTTCAGAGTATGAAGGAGGCGAGTTTTTTCTTATGTTGACCATTTTTCTAAACACAGATCAAGTTTGAAAGATAATTCGTCTTTTTCCGGACATAAGAACGTAACTTTATTCCGAGGTGCAAAATTGGCGTTGGTTTGCCAAGGCATTGGTTCGTTTCCTTCGAAAGAAAGAAAATAGGGGCAGAGATTTTGAAACATTGCAAACAAGATATGCATTTTTGCAGTTTCACTGTTGATACATACTGAAAATACTGCGGCTAGTAATATGCTAACAACTACTTCTACTTTTTTACTGGACATATTCACAAAGTTTGAAATCTATTTTTTTTTGTTTTTCAGTGTCATCACAGAAGGCTCACTCAATCACTCAAGTGGAGCACAAGCAGTTTTCGGTCAAGGTGCTAATCCCTCTGCATATATTCTACCTGTGTCTGCAGTTGTACCATGCCTAAGTTTTTTCCTATGTCGTCCACTTTCTGCATTTTTACTTTTGATACACAACCAAAACACTGTAGCAAGGAATGTGTTAACAATAACAACCTACTCTGCTGTGATAAGGATAGACGCTGTATGAACTTCACCAAATCTCTTCCAATCAAGAAGTAATTTTTGAGGTAATTATGGAATTTTGTTCCCTCAAAATTTTCTATCCAACTAAAAATTGTATCTAAAATTGCAAATCATCTTCTCTGTAAATTGGAAGGAGTATGTTTGCGACTTTCTCTTAAAATTCTTGCTTTTATCAAGATAGATCAGACAACATATAAATGCTCATAAGGCGTTCCTCTTTACCACAGCAGTAATCTGCTGTATTTATCCAGCTTGAAATTTATATTGTTTTGGTTTTCAGCCGGCATTATTATAGTGGGTTTCCTCTACCACTCAAAGTGGAACACAAGCATTCTTGTTCAAGGTGCTAATTCCTGTACATAAAGCTAAGCATTGGGGGTTATACCATGCCCAACTACCTCACTGTGTTTTTTAGTCTTTGGAGGAGGATCCTGACCTTACTGAACCTGTCGGTAGAGGACTGTGAAAGTACTGGCACTAAACATCTAGTCAGAAAGTGTTGAATAATTGGTCTTGTATATGTATTTTTTAATCTTTAAAGGGTTTCTGATGAGCTGCAAAACCTTCAAAAGTCAAGGAATCAATGCTGGCTTAGAAAAGTCAGGAAACTTGAGGTTCTGAACTCGTGGTCTAGCTAATATTTACAGTTATTCCAACGTCATTTTTTTTAAAACTTCAGTAATTTTCTGCTCTTTTCAAAGGATTTTCTTTGAGAATTTTAGACCACGCTGTTGGTTCAGTATCTTTTTAAAGAAATAAAATAGGAGCAGAAATTTTTGAAGCAGTACAACTGATATACGCTTTATGCAGTTTCACCATCGCTAACTACCTAAAACATTGCGGTAAGCAACTTATTAACCATTACTTTTACTACTGTACTGTCTTCTTCCAGCTTGAAATTTTCATTATTTTATTTTTCAGGAGGTTTCATTGGATTTTCTCTATAACGCGAAGTCAAACACAAGTAGTTCTTGGTCGTGTTCAAGGTGGTAATTCGTCTACGTAGTGCAGCCTACAAGTGTCGGTGGCTATAGCATCCCTAACTTGCTTACTGTGTTTTCTATTTTTTGAAGACTGATCTGCCTTCAACTCAGCCAGTCGTCAGAGGACTGTTGAAATACTGACCCAGAACATCCAGTTGAAAAGAGGTGAGTTCTTGGTCTTGTACCTATATTTTATAATCTTTACCAAGTTTCCAGTGGTCTGCAGAACCCAGAAATTGAAGTCAGAGTTTAATTGATGTGCATACAGGTAGAGTCAAAATATGTATTAAAGTTTTTTTTTTTTTTTTTTTTTTTTTTTTTTAAA